ATATAACTCGGAAAAAGTCACATTGGTACTTGCCAGGTTTCGAACCTCCAAACACTACAACTATTGTAATTTATAATACTATCTATACTAATATTATAAAGAGGTAAAATTTGCAAGTTTATATGTAGATGTTTATATGTTTGGAACCGCTGGTCGGATTGCCAAAATTCTTTCACTGATAGATAGCTACAATGTTCCTGAGAGCTATAGGCTATAAAACATCACGCTACAATCAAATGGAGCCCAGCAGCAGGTGAAACCGAGTAGCTAGGTTTAATATAAAAAGACATAGCAATATTGTTTTCTTTTAGTTAACCATTTAAACCAAAATATACGATAAAAGATTTAAGATTAATATAGAAATATCATAAGAATTTATTTTAGGAGATAGACTTATTAATATTTAATATAACAATACTGAATATTGCTTTTTGTTTCATTATTAAGATTAAGATTAATAAATATAAGATAATTATGTATTACCTCACATTAGGATTTTCTCCTGTGTCGTGGGTGCATTTACAAACATACAATTTCACATGCACATCACACCCAGACTAGGAACCAACGATTTGTGGATCACACAAAGAATTTTTACCTCGGCCTAGAGCAGGAGAAGGAACGGGGGGGTTTTTAGTCAGTTAGAGTCCGACACTCCCTCTCGCCTCAAGTTAAATTGAAACTTTTCCTCAAAATTCATCATCATCATTATCATCAACCTATAAGTGCCCACTGCTGAGCAAAGGCCTCTTCTCATACGGAGAAGGTTAGAGCATTAACCACCGCGCTTGCTCAATGCGGGTTGGCGATTTCAAACTTATAATTAGAAATTATAAGTCCAGGTTTCCTCACGATGTTTTTTCTTCACCGTATGTCAGTGGTGTCTAAATACCTAATTACAGAAAGTACATATAACTCGGAAAAAGTCACATTGGTACTTGCCAGGTTTCGAATCCACTCCCTCATGCATGAGAAGCGGGCTGCTTAACCTACGGGCGTAGGTAATAATTAGACGAGATTCTCGACTAGTTTCAAGCCATGCTAGATGCAGCGTGACAGTCGCCGCGTCGCGTGTCTCGGAATGCTGCTCATGAATATGGGCCTCTAGCATGGCTTGAAACTAGTCGAGTATCTCGTCAAATTATTACGTGAGTAAGCCGAAAACATAATAATCAATACGGTAGTTTCCAACTAGTTAAAATCAATATTTTTATTCAAATGTCAAAGCCCATTTTTTTTTGGTTTTTCGGTCGGTAAAGCTTATGTATTACCTGATGGTAAGCAATCAGCGCCGCCCATGGACACGTTGCCGGTGTTTTGAAGGGTAATTAGAGATTTGGATAATTAAGGCTGGGGGTACTACCTATATCTTAAATTACCTGAGGGTTTAAGAAGGATTAGGGCCTCCGGTAACCTCACTCATACGGCGAAACACAACGCTGTGATTTTTTCACGCCGGTTTTCTGTGAGGCCGTGGTATCACTCCGGTCTAGCCGACCCATTCGTGCCGAAGCATGGCTCTCCCATACTTTATATAGAAATGAAGGCTGGCCATGCGGCATGCTGCTGGTTATGTCTGCTCGACCGGAGTGATACCACGGCCTCACATTACCACAGCGTTATACCACGCCGTGTGAGTGAGGGAAGACTCCCTAAGACCCTCAAACTCTCAAAAGGCCATCAACGGACTTGTAACTCCTCAGTTGTTACGGGTGGCCATGGGCGGCGCTGATTGCTTACCATCAGGTAATTCGTCTGCGTTTGTGAAACGCTCAATTGTTTTATGAATGTGAAACTCTTTGTAAAAGTACCCACGACACAGGAGATAATACTAATATATTGAAGCAATGATTTTAGAAGAATAATACATATTTATTAATATTTCTCATCCGTTTCTAAGCATAGACATCTTAATATCTAGTAGTAATTAAAGCTTAATATCAAATCTATACTAATATAATAAAGAGGTAAATTTGTAAGTTTGTATGTAGGGGGTAACCTTTGGAACCGCTGGTCGGATTGCCAAAATTCTTTCACTGATAGATATCTACAATGTTTCTGAATGCTATAGGCTATAAAACATCACGCTACGATCAAATGGAGCCGAGCAGCGCGTGAAACCGCACGAGAGTAGCTAGTCTATAATAATTTTATAATAAAAATTTAAAGTAAGTTTTATAATTATAACTTTGTTTTTTATTATTATTATTAATAGTAGCTTAGAAAATTAAAATTATATTAATAATGTAACATATACATAATTTACTTTAGGAGTGTATACACGGCACGGGTTTCCTTTCAAACTTTAAAGTCCAAAATCACGAAAACTACTGAACCGATTTAAATGAAATTTGGTATTTGTACGTTACCTGGCTTCGATTGTCGCACGGAACAACTCTTTGTGTGATCCAAAAATTGTTGTGATGTGTATGTGAAATTGTTTGTTTGTAAACGCACTCACGACACAGGAGAAAATCCTAGTGTGGGGCAACGTTTTTTATTAAGAAAAAGAAGAAATATATGAAGTTCTAAAAACTAGATCAAATAAATCTTCGATTTAATTCGTTAATTAATAAAGCAGTTATTCGTGATTTTGAAGAAAGACTTAAGGCGTCGTTACTCACAAATTGTACTAATTAGAATCGGTTCTGTGTAACGCGTACGCTACGCTATTTTAAAACAAACTTTATATTAATTAAAACCTACTTTTTTATTATAAATATTATTGGAAACCGCTTCATAAAACTGTAATGGTCCATCGATATAGATAATAAACCAAATATAAACAATCTTGGCATGTTTTTATATACAACAAGCGGCCCGCCCCCGCTTCGCACGGGTCCAACTATCTCGCTATCAAAGGGTCACTTTTTCACAATTTTCCCCTCATCTGTTTTTCTAATATTTTCTTTGATAAGAACCTTCTCCTGACAATAACAAACATAGCAAAATTGGTCCAGGCGTTGTTGAGTTATGCGCTTACCAACACATTTTGCGATCCATTTTTATATTATAAACTAGCAGACCCAGCCACGCGTTGCTGTGGCTAAGGTAAATAATATTGTGACTATAAATTGAGATGTAAGCTATCCTATCTTTCAAGTTGGATCGAAATGCACACGGAATGCAAATCAAATTTCAAATCAGTTTAGTAGTTTAGGTGTCCATGTCAAAATGTCGTGGTGGCCCAGGTTAAGGAACCCGCTTCTCCTGCATGAGAGTGTGGGTTCCAAACCTGGCAAGTACCAATGTGACTTTTGCCGAGTTATATGTACTAAGGGTGACAAAAATGCATGGAGAGCTTAAGGTCGACTATTGACTGACAGGTTTTGCATAACGCTACCATTGATAACTAGATGGCGCTGCTTTTAAATGAAAATAACCCTGCAAAGCTTGAATACTTTACACTACAGAGGCACACAATAAGGTTTTTAATGGTTAAAATAATAATTAAGAAACAATAATACATTTATATTCAAATACACATAAATTATGTTACTTTTCACATTTCCGAGGACTTAATATAGCGCCATCTAAGTCAAGTCAAGCAAACCAATCAAAAGATGGCGTCAATAATTAATAATAGACAATAATAAAAGTTATAAACTAACCCGCATTTTCAACTTCATTAAAAATGCGATCGGTAGCTCGGTTGAATAAGAATGGTAGACTTATGAAGTCGAAGGGCACCAGTTCAATTCTGGGTTATCATTTTTAAATTCAGGTTTATTAACAATGGTTTTTTTTATATTTTTTGTATAAAATCAATAATAATAATATATAAATAAAATATTTGACGTTTAATATTTATAAAAGATAACAAAAATAGTTATATATATATATTAGTTTTGAATAAAATTATACTAATAAATATATATAAATAACTTTTATAATATGTGCTAACTATTGATGTAAAAGTAACATATTTTTCTCACAGATTAAGACTAATACTAAGTTTAATTCTCATAAAGGATAACAAATAAAACTATTTTAGTGACATTATAATTTCAGACATTTATTTCTTAAAACATAATATTTATTTCTTTCTTATATAGTGTATACCTTGACCTAATAACTTTTCAGCTATCTAACACATTATTTAATACACTTTATAAAAGATTAATAAGTATTTTAAATCAAAATTGTGTTGTGCTAGTCATTTATTAGTTAGTTTTAAACACAATGTTATAATACGATTCTATATAATATGCAACCTTACTTCTGCAAATATTTTACCTCCCCATAAAATTTACTTAAAGTATTGACTAAAGTGATTCATTTTGTGCATGTTATGACAAAGGCTCATAGCTTAAGTATTCGTTCCAGAACAAGGAAGAAATTGAAGCTAGACCTTAAATCAATAACATTTCTAATACCGGGATATAGCATTCATTAGATATGGGACGAATTGTTTATAGTAATTAATAAATAAATAATTTATTATTTTGCAATCAATAGCATCTGTAGATATTAATATTGCTTTTATTTTTATTTCTCATATTTAGTAAAATATTAAAATACTTAATTACTATAAATAACAGTTGCTGGTTATAAAGTAGTCAATAAATTTATCCTACTAACACTAACATTCAACATTTATCCATTAAATAAATTATAGCTACCCCGGTCTTGTAATTGCGTGGTCAACAATATCTTTTCTTCTAAGAACTAGTATAGCCGCCATTTTTATCGATCCTATTTCTCCTATCTCGCTGGCCAAGGAATATAATCCGTATGTCTGATTGCTGACTTAACACTTGCACAATTATGGAACGTTACACATAGGACAATTGTCCTACACGAACGTTATCACTAGCACATCTTCATGACGTCTTTCAGCACATCTATGTAGTTTTCACTGTTTGCATCACTGAAGATGACAATGCTCCAGTAATTTTCCTCATAACCTTGCCCCATAAGTTGAAGCTGGTCTGAGTCAATATCACGTCTTCAACCAGATCTACTACGGTGCTCCAATGAACCCTCTTCTTGAAACAGCTTTAGATATCCATAAAGTGGCAGTCTTTACCTGCAAGGGACGTGTATTATTAATTATTATTTTTATGTATCGATATCATGGATAATAAAATAAATAACGAACGGTCATTTTAAAAGAATACTTACGTTTAAGCCAGTTTTTCTCGAAATTTCAGTATAATTTAAACCTTTGATTATGCAATGCTATTATTTGGGCCCTCGTGCCATATCAATATTTGAACGCAAACTCATGATAAAAATAAATATTAAAAACTTGTTAAACAAATCGTAACTGAACTCACTCAAAGATAGTAAAGAATGTTATGATTGAACAAAAAGGTTTAATTTTTATACAGTTAATATTAAATTACCCTCAACTGCATTGAGATTTATGATCGGGTTATAGTTGCTAAACAACTTCAATATAATAAAGAGTAGGATAATTTCAATCAAATTCAAGGTTACGCAATGGCCTAATGGCTAGTGGCATCGGTAAATTTTATGCTACCGAGTTCGAATCCTGGTTATTGCGTGCTTAGCTTTAAAAAGGTTTGGAATATCTTAGCATTAATTTGTGTAAAAGTTTTATTAAGTTAATAACTTTGTATCTGATAAAAACTATAAATGTATATTTTTCAATACCACTAGTATACTAGCGCCATCTATGTCATCCATGGTAATATTATTAAGGCGATGAAACGCCGTACAAACGATTTTGATTTGGAATCCTCCATGCACTTATGACACTGATAGTACTTTCTATGATTATTTAGACGCCACTGACATACGGTGAAGGAAAACATCGTGAGGAAACCTGGACTTGTAATTTCTAATTACTAGTTAGAAATCACCAATCCGCCTTGAGCAAACGTGGTGGTTAATGCTCAAACCTTCTCCGTGTGAGAAGAGGCCTTTGCTCAGCAGTGGACACTTATACGATACGTCGATATTCGACGCACGTCGGTGGTGTCTAAATAATCATAGAAAGTCAAAGTCAAAGTCAAAGTCAAAGTCAATGTCAAAGTCAAAATCATTTATTTCAATTAGACCCATACGGGCACTTTTGAACGTCAACACAACTTTAAAGATACAAAGTGTCAGTCTGTCGGTCAGTCCTCTTAGTGAAGCTATTCGCTCGTTCCAAAGTGTAGATTCCGATGAAGAAGAACGAGCAAGAAACTCCATGGTTACTCTTTTAAAATCAGTGTCACATAAACATTCTTTGATACATTATTTAGTTAGTTTGAATATGTGAGAACAGTGTAACGCGTGTATACAGAGAAACATAAAAAAAAAATAACCTTAAGGACAATAGACAGTCTGGAGCTGACCAGTCCCAATTGACGGCGCCCGTTCACGAGTATGACACGTACACCAGCATCGCCCAACTCAACCATAATATAGGGAATCGAGCGATCCAGTGACCGCGCCACCGCCAATGTGACCTTTGAGTGAGCATGACAACTCCAAGCTGACATAAGGACCGACATTCTGCTAGTCTAAAGAAAAAGAAAGTACATATAACTCGGAAAAAGTCACATTGGTACTTGCCAAGTTTCAAAACTCGGGGCAACCATAACTATTGTATTTTATAAGACTATTTTAATATAAAAAGACATGTCAATATTGTTTACCTTTAGTTAACCATTTAATCTGAAAGACCATAAGGCTTATAACAGCTTTAAAAGTAATAATATTTAGGGCTGATTTTTCAATAGTCAGATAAATGTTATCTGAGGAATAAAATTGTTGCTGTCACTGTCTTATACAAACATTGTGACGCGACAGCAACATAATTATTCCCCAGGTAACTTTTATCTGACCATTGAAAAATCAACCCTAAATACACTAGAGTTTTTAACCTATGTACTAAAATCTAATTATTATAATTAAGACTTAATTTTAAGAGTATAAGGTACGTATTGGAATGCATAGAATCATAAGCACAGCGTTCAAGGGAAAATGAACCTTGTGTAGTAATTATAATTTAGGTCGGGTTCACCGTGGCAATTGTGGCGAGCTGGACCTCCGTGGTCGACGCTTCACTTTGCGAGTTACAGTTTCTTCAGTAATCTGAAAAAAAAGTTGTATAAAAAACTTATTTTAGTGTGTGAGAGTCATGCTTCGGCACGTATGGGTTGGCTCGACCGGAGTGAACCACAGCGTTGTATTTCGCCGTGTGATTGCGGTTCCCGGAGGCTCAATCGTTGCACTCTCCTATCTTCCTTAAATACCCAAACACCTAATCCGGGCCGGTAATGCACTCATAATTTCTCTGATGTAGCCGGTATCTATGGACAGCGGCGATTGCTTACCATCAGGTAATCCTTCTGCGTATGACGCTCATGACAAAGTATGAATCTACCAAAGTTGAATAAAAAACTATCTGTTCTTTGCAAAGACCCTTGGCACTGCTTGTAAGCTATGATGCAGCCTATTCACTCAAGCCTTGAAGACACCCAGGAAATAAAGACCTCCCGTCAAGACACTTCAGGAGACAAAAACTTGCTGGTACTTACACAAGCAGTAACTCTAGCAGGAACTGGAGGAGGTTGCTTCTTCTTCTCCTCTCTCTTCTCCGTTACCTTCTCACTTCCAATCCCACTACTAACAACACTCTTCACTCCACTAGTGGACGAACTAGCTGCACCACTATCTATCCCGCTCTCACTTTCAGTTTCAACGATACTTCTATCTCTTTCTCCATGCGTTTCAACTGACGCAAAACTCTCCATCGTGTCCCGTTTATGGTGGAGCTGTGGGGCGTAGCTTTCGATGCTAGTTCTGTCTCTGTCTATCTGTTGAGGCGGTGCGAAGGGTGTGGGTATGCCAGAGGGGGATGGCGAACAGTTATCAGCGGCCGTTGAACAGGATGCGCGCGCCGAGTCTGACCTGGAAGAAGATTGAAGAAGAGTTTTTAAATCATTTCATTATTACCTTAGTAAGAAAAACTGGACATTAGGTTGAGAAATAAAATAAAAAAAGAAAAGAGTCTTTTGATAAAGAGTCTAGATGGTTATTCTTTTTTTCTTTCTCTTTTATTCCGTACGATGTTTTCCTTTACCATATGTCAGTGGCGCCTGAATAAACTAAGAAAGTACATACATATAAGTCAGAACAAGTCCCATTGTTACTTGATTAGTTTCGGACCCGCGTCCTCATGGATGAGGTGTCTGTGTGTGTCTTCTTAAAAACCTCTATTTCCCTATCCGTCTATTATGATCATAATAGTATCCAAATTGTTCCCTACCCAAGGCTGTTGATTTCCCAGGAGTTAAAAGGAAATGAAACAAATGTTTTTTTTTTATTTCGTAACGGGCAGGTATTTAGTCGCTATCACGCCTGGTGGTAAGCTATAATGCGACCTACGATGGAACAAGCCTACTCATAAGTGGCCTATTCACTCGGGGCTTGAAGACACCCAGGCTAGACACTTCGGGGTACACAGATTCGGGCAAAGAATTCCACTCCTTATCCGTGCGTATTAAAAAACTGAAGGCGAACCGTTTCGTGCAATGCGATTACCGATTGCCTGGAGTAGGGTGATAAGGTTTATTCTAAATTTCTATTTCTTATAATTACTATTTATCAATAAGACCATACCGGTGCTCGGCGCTGCGTCCCCCGGATCACAAGACGGTGTCCATCGTGTGCAGAGAGCTCAGCAGAGCAGGGTCCCGGCTGCACCAGTGAGCCAGCTCATCAGGGGTAACTACTCCATCGCAATTCGTATCCATTAACTGTAACAGTAAGTATAAGAATCACATCATCAGCCCATAAGCGCCCAGAGCTGAGCAAAGGCTTCTTCTTATACGGAGAAGGTTTGAGCATTCATCACCACGCTTGCTCAAGGCGGATCGGCGATTTCAAACTTACAATTAGAAATTATAATTCCAGGTTTCGTCACCATGTTTTCCTTCAGCGAATGGCAGTGGGGTTTGAATAATCATAGAAAGTACATATAACTCGGAAAAAGTTACATTGATACTTGTCAGGTTTCGAATCAGCACCCTCATGCATGAGGCATGAGAAGCGCCTTAACCTCCGGCCACCACGACACCGAAACCTTGGAATTCTATTTGCAATAAATGCTTCAGCCTCATATGGAATACTGTTCTCATCTTTGGGCGGGGGCACCCCAGTAGACTCTCTCTGGACCGCCTTCAACGACGACCTGTCCGAATTGTTGACTGCCCTGTTGTCTTGGACCTGTGCTCTCTGACTCCTCTGGCACTGCAGGTGTTCATGGGTGGCGACGATCACTTCATCACCATCAGTTGATAAGTCTGCTAGGTTACCTACTATTCCATAAAAAAAGTTTTATAAGCATTAGCAAAACAGTACTTACATGGAAGATCCGATCGACATGGTCCTTAGCCGCCGTGCTGTGTACAGGCGGGGCTGCAGCTCGTCCCAGCAGCTCGTAGATAGCTTGGACTACAGCTAGCATCTCGGATCGGGAGATTCTGCCGTCTCCGTCAACATCGTAAAGAGTGAACACCCAGGAGAGTTTCTCTTGGACCGAGCCGCGAGCAACGCGAGACAGGATGTCCAGGAACTCCTGCAAAAAAGGGGAATATGTTTTTAAGATTAATGTGTTTAATTTATGTAAGTCGCGGTGGCCTAGCGGTTCAGGCGACCGCTTATCATGCGTGATGGTGTGGGTTTTTTTGTGAGGGGAAAATCATTAAATGACTTCTCCCGCCCAGGGCCGGGCGAGAGGGAGTGTCAGACTCTTACTGACTAAAAACCCCCCTGTTCCTTCTCCTGCTCTGTGCCGAGGTCGCGGTGCCTCATTGCGCTTACCCCGCAACTGCTGGGTGAGGGCTTGAAACCTGGCAAGTGCCAATGTGACTTTTTCCGAGTTATATGTACTTTCTATGATTATTTAGACACCACTGACATACGGTGAAGGCAAACATCGTGAGGAAATCTGGACTTATAAGTTCCAATTATAAGTTTGAAGTCACCACTCCATCTTGAAGAAGCGTGGTGATTAATGCTCAAACCTTCTCCGTGTGAGAAGAGGTCTTTGCTCAGAAGTAGGCACTTAAAGGTGTGAATGATGTGTCTTTATTTCTTGAAATATTATTTTGATGAAGAAAGACTCTTCTCCTTTGTTCTGAATAGTTCTGGTTCTGTTAAGAACCATCTGTGGTGGTCTATTTGCTCTTTAAATTTGTTCGCGCTGGTAAATTTCTCAAAGCTTAGATATAATTGCTTCTTAACGCTAGACAGATAAATACAACAAATTTCGTGTTTAAGAAAATTTTGTACTTTAGGTATAAACGAACTAGTTCTTACCCGCGGCGTCGCTCCCGTTATTTGACTACCTACCCTACTCTACCTACCCTACTCTACCTATCCTACCCTACCTACCCTACTCTACCTTACCTTTTTTTTTCTTCGTGCTGACAACACTGGTGGTCGGTTGTCTAAACTCGACCTCTTATTTAAATTTATTTTTTAAAATTAGTTTTAAGTGATTTTATTGTGTAAATTATATACTACTACGTTGAAGTAATTGCAAAAATACCAGAGGCATTGTATGCGTTGTGATTTGGTTAAGAATTAATTTGTCAAGTTGAAAAGTTCATGTGAAATGTCAGTGGTCAACGGACGGAGCAAAAGTTTAATATAAATAAAACTTTAAACCAGGGGAGTATAAGTGATAACTATTATTTTTATCGATATAAATTAATAGACGCCCTTATTGTGCCCTAAGGAACATATAGATGGTCTCAGTTTGCTTGGCAAATTGTTAAACACGACAATAATACTTTTGTAGATACATTACAAAAGAAAAAAAGTTGATACTTTATTATACATATTTAAATTAGCCCAATAAGTAGTGTAATTAGTGTGATTAAGTCTATTTGTACTTTAAATTAATCACAAATTACAAATCTTAAGAAACTTAAAGTATTAATCCAATTCCTTTGTTTTCCAACTACCTGCATACAATAAATTAAATTCATCATTATAGTAACAGTTAATTTTTTCATCATATTCAATAATTGACAGCTTTATTATTCACTCCTTTGTTTTCTTATTTTTCTAATACCTTATAGATTTCATCCAAACCTAGCTTCAAGTAATTTTCCCTGTTTTTTTTTCTGTCCTTTTTTTTCTCTTTCATTTCAGAATACCATCCCTTCATTTCAATATGATGACTCGGTCTAAGGATATGGAGAGCAAACTGAGGGCAGCACTCAAGGAGCTAGAATCTTACTAAGCACCTGTGCGACCAACTGCTGCAGGAGCGGGATGACAGTGAAGTTGAAGTGAAAAACATAATTGACAAAAACACTCAACTTAAATACGAATTGGCTGAATTACACTCATGTCACAACGGACCTGCTAGAGCAACACAATGAATTATTAAAGAATGTTGATACTTTTAAGCAGTGTACCGACACACATGATCATGCTCTTAAACGCATAACTCATCTGGAGCATGACCTCCAAAAAGCACAAAATGTAATCCATAAGTTGGAGGCTACCAAAAACTCTGTGCTGTCGATCAACACTCAGAGTTTATATGAGGAATTGGTTGGTAGTGGATCCGGTGACATTTGTGAACCAGCCATTACAATTGATTTAACCGGTGATGATACTATCAGTGCTTGCCCTGTATTCAATAGCCACAATAAATTAAAAAAATATATAAAACTAACTAAAATCATTAAAAAACTGAAGAAGAAGCAAAATCTGTGTAAAACAAATATTTACCTAAGAAAACAAAAAATTAAATTATTGCAAGAACTTGAATCATGCAAAAGTGATTTGAAACAACATCGGGCAGTATATGACATCGATGTTCAATCTCTTAAACAAGAACTTTTACAAAGAGAAATGTTCTTAAATAATATGTTCCAAAAATATGAATCTGCCCAATTGGAAATAACAAACATATGATTGAGGCAGGTAAACTTGTGGATCTAGTAACTTATAGTGCTGAGAGGTATGAGTCTCTTGCGAATAATCTTTCTTGTAGCTGTGCCCTCACTCCACCTTCTGAGCCAGAAGTTGTACAGCAACCAATGAGTCAAGCAGCTGTTACATACAGCGCTGGTGTGTTTACGGACTCAGTGGGTGCAGGTATTGGGTCACTTATTGCCAATTGCCTTAACTATAGGATAACTAATTACTGTTATCATAATATAAAATTTGGCCAGATTATTAAAATAATTTCACAGAAACAGATCACACAAAATCAGCCAATAGTGATTTTGATGGGTGATAGTACAGGAGTAAACAAGCGGGATATAACTGATGGTATCAACACCTTATTAAGACTAAACACAGGGAATATAATGTTATGTGCATTCCCATATGCTGACACTTTGTCACAAAGTGAAAATAGTAGAATTCATCATCTGAAACAATTTAATATTTTTTTGACCTCTTGTCATAGTGACAAATTATCATTTTTTGACACTAACAAATTTGTTAGTGGTTTTAAGTTGACCCGGGATTATATGTATATTCCCAGGAAATGTAAATTATTAATTGCTAGTTTGCTAGCAAATAGTATTAATTTATTAATAAGTACGTTTTAGTGACAAAACTATATTGATTAGACAATCTAACAATATAGAGATTAATTGTACATACAATAGTACGAAGGAGGCTCCAGATTTATTGACAAATGTGGATGGCACTCCGGATAGTATTCTTTTAAACTGACTTCCACGACAACAGAAGATAACCAATTAAATTACTCAAAATCCACATTCATTGAAAAGGTTTCTTCTGGCAATATTATTAAGCATCAATTTAAATTAAAACATAAAACTAAATTAGATAACTTGTTGTCATTGTACAGTCAAAATATTCAGGGCTTATCATCAAAATTCCTAGAAATGGAATTGTTTTTAGAGAAATTCCAATATGATATTATTTGTTTAACTGAACATTGGTTAAAAGATTATCAAGTAGAAACAATTAACTTCAATAACTATTGTGTTGGCAGCAATTATAGCCGCCAAGCAATGATACATGGTGGTAGCCTAATTTTAGTAAAGAACTCAATAAAATATAAACAAAGACAAGACATTGCTCTGCTGTCAATTGAACACACAATAGAGTTGTCCTGTGTTGAGCTGGATAGGGCATATTGTAGTATGTGTTTATAGGCCTCCTAACATACAGAATCTAAATATTTTCGCTCTGTAATGGAAGATGTACTGCGGAAAACATGTTCTAGTAGTAATGTACTATAGTATGTGGCGATTTTAATGTTGATCTCTTAGAAAACAATTCTCATTGTACAAACTTGTTAAGTCTCTTTCAATCATTTGATTTGTCTAATGTTTTCCTTGAGCCCACCCGAGTAACATCCACCTCGGCAACTTGTATAGATAATATTTTCTGTAATTGTGATTATTTACAAAGTGAAATTGTAAATAGATTACCATCTGATCACAGTGGGCTCACAGTTAACTTTAATACTATCACAACTGTGCCAAAAAAGGAAATATTGTTTAGACAAATCACATACAAAAAAATTTATTCATTAAATAATAAGCTAAAACATGAATTATGCAGCCAAGTACAAGACAATAATTGCCCGAGTGAGATATATGCTAATTTATTATCCCTTATAAAAATACAGTTCGATAAACTATTTCCTTTAAAACGTAAAAATGTTCAGTGTAAATTTGTATTCTGTGACTGGGCTACACCAGGTATTCGTATAAGTAGAGACAGGTATTTGAGCTATACGGCCTGAAACCATTTAATAGTAGCGAGGCTTTTCGCAGACGACGTTTCCAAATATTCAAAAATATTTAAAATAGTATGTAAGCATGCTAAGTCGCTCCACATTAGTAATAAAATCAGGACCGCGGAAAACAAAATAAAAGCTACCTGGAATATAATTAATAAAGAAACAGGTAGAAATAAATCACAAAACAATGAATTTAATTTAAAAACCGAAAAGGGATATACTAGTTCAAATTCGTCAGTTGCCCAGGAATTCGAAAGATTCTTTAAAAATATTCCTCTTAAAGCTACGGAAACGTTAAAATCATCTCCAGCTCTTTCTGTCGAGCTTCTCAGGGGTAACGTCAAAGAATGTCCTTCTGACTTTAGCTTTCAATACACAACCCCCCAGGCAGTAATAAAGGCGTTCAATGAGATCAAAGTAAAGTCAACTGAAGATCTTTGGGGAATGTCTGTTCGAGTGTGCAGGTCGTTTATAGAGACTATTGCGCCGCACTTAACTTTCATTTTTAATAAAAGTGTAGATCAAGGGGTTTTCCCGGATTTAATGAAACATAGTAAAGTAGTTCCATTATTTAAATCAGGCGATAGTACAGAACCTAATAACTATAGGCCGGTCTCTATTTTGCCAGTGCTCAGTAAAGTGTTCGAAAGGTTGATGCTTACTCAAATGCTGCGTCACTTTAACACGAATTCTATTTTCCATGACCATCAATACGGGTTCACCAAAGGACGTTGCACTACGGACGCAGGAGTATCACTTATAAAACAAGTTTTTCAACTCGTGGGAAAAAGCACAGGATGCCATCGGAATATTTTGCGACCTTTCAAAGG